GGATGTCATCGGGTGGACAGGGCAGATCTGGGATTTTATCCAGGATACGGAGCCATGAAAATCATCCAGAGGGAAACAGGCACCGACTGCAGGCTCCAGTCACCTGCCTGTGACATATCCCCACCCTTTATCCACCTCATCAGCATCAGGGGTTTGCCCTCCTCCAGAAAGGATCCTCACACAGCTCGTTTTCCCCCTTTTTTTTTTTCCCTGAAGAGAAAAATCTCAGCAAACTCATCTTTCTCAATATTTAACTAACGCAGTTATTTTATCAAATATTTATTTCATTATTGTGCCCTGCTCCTTTTCTCCCATTAATAAGGGATATAGCATACTAACTAAATGAAAGCTTGTATTTCTCTAGTTCTGGAAAGGGCAAATCCTAGTCCAGAGGAAGCAGAGAAAATGACCTTGAGGGATCCCCCTCTAGTGGGATGAAAGGGAAATCTTGGATGCACTTGAAATTGGGCTTTTTTCCTTTGAAACGAACAAACTGCCAACTTCTCCTTCCCATTGCTGCAGCTGTATATCACTGAGCCAACAGCAGAGCCACCCAGATGGAAAATTGACTGGGGTGATTGATGACAAAAGTAAGTCCCAAACTTGCATTTGTGATCTGTGGCAAGTGCATGAAAGTGGAGCTGGAGCTGAAGTGCGGAAAGTGTTCTGTGCCCGACTGCAGAGTTAGGGACAGCTCCCAACAACCACACCAGGCCACCCTCAGCCACCTCCAAGCAGGGAATTCAGAGCAGGTTCCGGAATTTAGGGCTCAGTCCAGCATCTATTTGCAAAGGCACCCACGATCCACCCAAGGCTTTGGGAAAACTGCCCATGCTTCTGAGCTCTTGGCTTGATAAATATTTTTACTCATCACCAGGCTGATTGTAACATCTGAATCCTAACAGTGACCCCCCAGTTAAAAAAGATTATTACACGATCTGCAAAAAACACCAAGGATTTGACAGATGATCACAATTAATGACAGACAGGAAACTCACAGTGGTAAGAAGGTGGAGCTGCCATTCCTGCAGCATCTGAAATGTCACAAGCAGTTAGCAGATAAGAACCTTCAGCACACTTAACGATGGCACTAACACATTTTGGGATACTTCACATACTGTACAGTCACCATTTTAAGGAAATTTAATAGCACCAAATTATTGAAATGAAGTGTTAATCAGGAAACAATTTATCTCTACACCATAAGCTATTTTTAGTCGTGAACTTTCTACATCAGTGGCTCTTGCTACAGCTCAGGCTTTGGGTTGTTTGGAAAGGAGAAGAAATAAATGACTCCTGGGAGAGATTTCAGGAGTAAGTTCACCTTCAGGTCAAGCAGCTCAAATCCAACCCAATTCAGGAGTGAATGAAACCTGGACCCACTCCTGGCTCCAAAGTCAGGCTGAGCCAGCTCCTAAAGGGCAGAGAGACTGGCCAGTGGGATGGACAGGACTGTGAGATGGACAGGACAGGACTCTGGCCCTGCTCCCAGCTCTTAGAGAAAGCTGGAACTGAGCAAGTCCAAGAATTACCCTTTTCTGAAGGACTTCTGACTGAGCTGCATCAACAGAATGATGCTCAGTGCCATGTAAATTTAATTTCAATTTCATTTACTTCACCATTGTTTGTCAGCTTGGATTGAAAATACCACAGAAGTGACATAATTTTGGATTGAAGGGAGTAAACATCCATTTCCCCCAGCTCACAGTTTCCTACCAAGTTAGCTTACAAGTGTGAGCACCTTCCCTGAAGCCACAGTTAACAACCTGTTATTTAAAGCCTAAACAACATAAATAACAACCCAGCATCTCTTTGTATTTTCTGGGAGAAGCTGCCACACAGAATCCCAGTTCTTACACAATAAATCCCAAAGAACCCAAGAAGGGACCAGTTTTCAAATCAAAGTAAACCTTTTTCCAGGCAAGGTGCTTGGCTTTGCAGCAGCAGGAGCAGCCCAACCTTCTACTCCTTTCCCTGCTTTCTGACAGCACAGAAAATATTCCTTTTTCCTGCTGCTGTTTCACTTCCAGTTTGTTCACTGTCCCACCATGACTGTGACAATGGACTGTGACTTGATGTTAAGGGAAAATTGGTTTTTTGTTTTTCCCAAGCCCTTGTGCCAGTGGAAACCCAGCAGGGAAGAGTAATCCAGACTTTTTTAAACTCATATATTTTCATAAAGGTGGGGTTTTTTCTTTTTCTTTTTTTTTTCTTTTTTTTTTTTTTTTTTTTTTTTTTTTTACATCTCTAAAATGGAAACTCTCAAGGACTGGAACTGAGTTTGTGCCAAAGAACTGAGTTTGTCCTTCCTGAATTCCCAATATTGCCCTGATCAGCCTCATTCCCTCTATTCTGCTCACAGCACTGTTATGGGAAGCACCTTGGGAAAGAACCTCCCCATGTGGGAAGAAATTCAAGGTGTCTGATCCATCACTGAGGTCCAAAAAGGCTTCAGAGAGGGAAGGGGATGAGGAAAAGGAGGAGATTGAGCTGCTCACAGACCATGGTGGGTGCAGAAGAGTGGCTGAATCACAAGAAATTACACTCAGAGAAAACTATTTGCTGAAATATGAACTTAAAATACCAGTTACAGGCAATCAAATGGACATTTAATCCACAGATTTCTTGGTAAAGTTGGCATGGAAATCCATCCTTAAGGGGCACTTCCAAGCAGTGCTGAAGTGTCAAATGAAGACACCAACCAAACCAAGCAGTATTTAACATTTGGGGATGAGGTAATGTGAAGCACAGAAAATACAGTGAATTTACAGGCCTAAAAATCCAAATAGGAAGTCCTGACTCTTCCTGTCTGGTCCAAACCTCCTCCACATGGCAGAGCCATGTACAAAACCCTGCCAGTGACAAGCAGTAGGTGACAAGCTCAGCCCTGTGATCCATTTTGAGGCACCACACAGGCTCAAGACCCCACTACCAAGGGGAGGGGGAGCTCTGAGGCAGCAGCACAGCCTGCAAGGGATGATTCCCAGGTGTTCTGAGCTGTGTGACAGATAACTGCAGATATTCCAGGGGTCCTTCTGCCATTCCAGAACTCAGCCCTGAGTACCTCATCAGAGTTCAGATGAAGAAGGCAGGCACAGCTTGGGACAATGCCCTTCTTTTCTTTCTTTTCTTTCTTTTCTTTCTTTTTAGTAATTCTTAACTGATCAGCAGCTCCTTTTTATGTTTGCTTTTAAGCCCATAACAAGCAGCAGATGCTGCCCAGACATCAACAACAGCAAAATCTTTCAGTATTTCTAAGCAAGAGGATGAGGAAGCCAAGAGGGAGGAGAGAAGCTCCAACTATTCCCACAGTGTTATTTGAAATTCACTATCTGAATTTCCCAGCATTTGGAATTGCTGGCATAATTGACTTCTTTCTGTGTGATCAAACCTCAGGCTGGCAGGACACACACACACACAATGAGAGCTGCCTGCTGCAAACTCTCAGGGAAAGTTTCCCTCTGACCTGGCAAACCAAGTAGATGCCAAAATATGTAAATTCCATGCTACAGACCTTAAATTCTTATATATCTCTAAATATGTTTCCAGAAACTTGCTTTTTCTGCAGCTATCAAGTAATTTCTGACTGTGTTCAAATGTGCTAAAAGCTGAAATCTCTTTATTTAAACATCTCCCCTGCAGTTTATTGACTCAGCCCAACACTTTTCTTCCCTAAATTAGGAAGTATAGTGAAAACCAAAGACCTCCTCACACCTGGTCATCTAAATTATATAGTAAACTGGAAAAAACCAACCCAACCATGAATAATTTTCTCCTATGAGCTCTGCCAGGTCAAAACCTGAAGAAGGGTTTGATGAAATCATGGCTTCAGACACCTCAGGGCCTAGCCTGGGATCTCCAGGAATTTCTGCTCAGTGGCACCACTTTAAAAACCATCTCAAACAGCACCATTCAGAGTTGGAAGGGGAAAAAAACTTCTCAGTTTTCTCCCAATAAATGGAAATGTCTCAAAAATGCAGGAAATTACACCTTGGCTTGAAGGACTGAGGTTCGGAATTAGATGCTATTTAAGGTCCCTTCCAACCCAAACCAGCCTGATCCTATGAAGCATGAGACAGATAATGATTATTATTATTATACAAGAGAAGACACCTGAATATCCAGGAATGCCAGGGCTGCTCATCCCAGTGGGTTTTGCACAGGGACAGGAGTGTGGGTATGGTTTTGCTGGCACATGCAGGAGGTGTCTACATTACCCATAAATGCAGAAGGCACTTGGCACTTTATGGATGTCATCCCAAACATGCTGACAGAACTTCCACTAGCCCATTATGAGTTTTGTACAAGCTGTGCATTTTACAAGATAAATTGTCTCAAACGTTTTCCCTTAATGCAATTTTTTAAAATCCACTTAGCTGTATGGACAAGTACTTCAGCAAACAATAAACATCTTTGTTTAGAGCTCAGAAGGAGCTATAAACCACTTCCACCAATAAATTAAAAAGCTTTCCACAGAAGAATCTTGCTGTTAGAAGAATGCATAATACTGAACTTTCCAAAAGTGGAAAGAAGGGCTGTGGGTCTCACCAGGAGGCCATAAAAAGCCCTTTCACTATGTATTAGATAAGAGATCATAGATTCCTCCCATATGTTAATGACTGTGAAATTATGTAGGGCTTTGGCAAGTACAGGGTAATAAATACACAAAAACAGACACTGAAGGCTACCCAGAAACTCAGAATATCCTGTGGGGGACAGATCAGCAGTCAGGGCTTAAAAACTTCCACATCAGTGGGTTTGTAAATCCCAAAATAGTTTGGGTTGGGAGGGATCCTACAGTTCAACTAATTCCACCCCCTACCATGGGGAGGGGGACCTTCCACAACACCAGGCTGCTCTGAGCACCACCAGCCTGGCCTGGAACCCCTCCAGTTATGGAGAGATATCCATCCCTATCCCAGCTGTTCATGGTAATTCCCTACAGACACTGGAAATGCAGATTTTCTGCCACTTTTTCCCCTAGCAAGGTGCTCCCTTACCTGAATTTGGCGAGATGTGTAAACTGCTCATGTCTTTGGAGAGGCCGTTGGTTTTGGGGCTGGAGATGGGGGCACAGGCTGAGGTGGCTCGGGGTGGCCTCTTGCCAGGGACCTTCACAGTGGTTCTCAGCAAGTCAATCTCTTTGCCATGAACATTCTGCATGTAATCCTGCAGAGAGAGGAGAAAACCCCAAACACAACATCAGACAGGGAGTTCTGTAAGAATTAACAGAACTAACAAACCTGGTTTCACAAGGCTCTGGCCCTACACCCTCTACCCACACCCACCACAGGGTTTTCCCCTTCCATGTTCCTGATAATCCCTTCCACACTTCTCACAATTAACTCCAGAAGTCTGGAGCTTTCTCACAGATCCTCCAACATCCAGCTGGGTAAGAGGTAATTCACTACACAGCCACGTGTGGGAATTCACCAGCTAAAGGTCTCAAACATGAGCAGAAGACCAGGCTGAGTGCCCCACATTCACTTGTGTCTCCTCTCTGCCAGTGCTTCATGCACTCATCTCCTTCTCCCTCCAATTTAGATGGAATGGGTCAGCAGGCACCAAAGTTACAAAAGGGCACTAGCAGGGAAGGTCTCAGCAATTCCAACATTGTTTCCTTACAATATGACCCTTCCTGCACCCACAGAAAATATCATCAAAGGGGAAAAAAAATCATGCAAATTATATCTGATTAGAGCAAACACTGGGAGCCAGAAGTGAAAAAGGATTTTGCTAATTCTTGCTTGGAAAGCCCACAAAGGGGAAATAAACAGAAAAGCAAATGGACATGGGTGTTTTTATCAGATGGAAAATTGATCCTGGGATAGACCAGCACAGCTATTTCCAGGACAGGTGGTGAATGTTAAAGCCAGCACACAAGACACCAGAGTTCTCATCTCCTGGTACACAGGGCTGTGGTCACTCACATTCCAAACAAAAATAATTGAAACTGGAACAACTACAGGGACAACAAAAGAGACACTCTCTTAAAGAGGACATGCAAGAGGGGCAGCACAGGAGAGGAAAATCAGGGGTGAAAAGGGGCAAGAGCACTGCACAAAAAGATACCTGGGCTGCCCAGAGAAGCTGGGGCTGCCCCTGAATCCCTGGAAGTGTCCAAGGCCAGGTTGGACATTGGGGCTTGGAGTTACCTGGGCTAGTGGAAGGTGTCCCTGCCCATGGCAGGGATGGAATGGCATGAGCTTTGGGGTCCCTTCCAACCCAAACCACTCCAGGACTCTGGGATTAAGGACCCTGAGAGAAAAACAGCGATTTGCTGTGGCTGGGAGAAGATCTGGGCTCCCACTTCACAAGAGATTTCCTGAATTTACCCAAATTCTCTATCACTGCTGCCACAATCCAGGGAGCTGATTGCTCCCTCATCAAGATTCTTTCACCTTCAGCAGTTTTTACAACACAAATGATTTATTCTGCTCAAAAATAATCAAAAATCTGGACCAGCAATAATTTCTTCATAGTTAACAGAAATCAGTGATAAAACCCTCAAACTAAGCCATCACAGCAGCTTATTTTTCCTAAGCTGAGAAGTATTAACAGGAAAAGGTGGTGTCTGAACAATTAATGGGGAGAGGACACAGAGCTCTGCTGCCAAGAGAAAAACAAAGGCAAACCACTCAGGAAAATTCCTTTACTAGGTGCTAGAGAGCAAACACCTTTCATCCATAAATCATGAACTCGGCAGAACTTTCTTATTTGGGTGTCACTTCTTCACAAATTAAAATACAATAAGCATAAGATAATTGAGCATTCATTGCTTGTGGGCTGTAAAGTGAGGTTTAATCAGGGAGTGACTAAACCTCGGCCGGTACCCTTTTCCAACAGTTTTATTTAACGTACAACCAACTTAAACTGGAGAACGGGGTTTTGGATCCAGTTCAGATGAAGGCTGGGTGTGATTTCCCAACTTGAGATGTGGCAGGGTGCTGTTAAAGGCCTTTTAGCTGGGTGCAAAGCAGGCTGACGTGAGCCACAAAACCACTTGAGGAAGCCGGGGAGTGTTGGCAAACACAAAACCAATGAGTGGCCGCCGTCGGAGCAAAGCGCCCGAACCACAACAGATGCTGGGTAGGTATTAATGTCAGCTTAAATATTTATGGGGATATATCAAATGTAAATAATAAAGGCCCTTTCATCGTGGGCAGGGTGCAGGGCGATAATCTGCAGGTCTCCCCGAGGAGGGGAGGGCAAGGAGAGCGTTCCCAGCCCCCTCAGATCCTCAGCTCGCTCGGGGAATGAAAGTTCAAACTACAAAATGACGCCGGGGCTTCAGAAGAGCAATGGAGGGTTTGATCAGATTAGAACAGATGAGGGTCTTGCTGTCATCTGGAATATGCTGTGTTAAAGAGAAGACAGCAAGCTGGATTTTGATATGCAAATGGTACAGGGATAACTCCCCAAGATGTTAGTTGTAGAAAATGCTGATCCGAGAAAAAAGGGGAAAAAAAACCCTTTAACAAGGCATGAGGGTAATTCAAAGCCAAGTACTTTTAAACAGCACTTAACAAGTCCCTAGAGCCCACTCAACAGTGGGCCACCCCAGACGTGCCATCTTCTGCCCCTCAACAGCTTGAAAAAGTAGTAATTGCGAATCCATTTGCATTTTTCTTCTCAACTTGTCCGCGTTCATCATTCGGCAAGGCAGGGGGAAAAAATAATAAAAAAAAATAAAAATTAAAGGCAGCAGCAAAGCAGAGGGACCCCTCCCCAAACACGTGGCACAGAGGAGACGCGGGCGCCCCGATCCCCCACGCCCTGCGCTCGCACCTCCGCCGCCGCTTGTTTTTTACATTTCGCTCCTAATTATGTTGCATCTATTGCCATACACTTAATTAGCTGCATTAATGTGATTTCTTTTCACATAGTCAAGCAATTAAGAGCTATGATTGAGTTTCATTCAATTAGCCTCAACAAACATGCTAATTGATGTCCCAGATGCAAATGAGGTGCGGTGAGAGAAACCTGCTAGCAATTGAGAGTTGTGGCAGGGGGGACCCGGGGCTCGCAGCTCGCTGGCAGCAGCGGCACGGCTTAACACGGCTCCCCCCACTCCCAGGGCAGGGGGGACAGCAGCCATGTCCCAGAGAGATCCCTACAGGGCTGAATGCAGGAATCACAGGATTGAATGCAGGAATCACAGGATTGAATCCAACGGGCGCCGTTCCATTGAATCCAACGGGCGCCGTCTGCGGTTCCGGTGGCTGCCGGAACGTTCCGCTGATCCCGGGATCTGAGGGCTACCCAAGGTCTCCATCCTGGCTCAGAGCTGTGAGACACCAGGCAGGCCATGGCCTGCAGTCAGCACTAACTGGCAGCTCCATCTTAGTCAGAGCAGGGCGATGCTGCCTCGGCATCCATCAATCCATAATCCCCCAAAATGCGCTCCCCGCATCGATTCTCATCCCTTCTCCTCCCCGGGTTACCGCTCCGCTGCGGCGCCACCGAGGTGTTAATTTGACTACTCAAGGCCATTGACCATTATCTACAGGACTAAATAAACTGTTAAAATATCAGGGGGAAATCAAAAAAGCTGCATTGACTGAAGATGACGCCAAATATTACCCGACAGCCCCACAAAATGAATTGCCTTGAGTAAGAAAGGAACGATGCGCCATGACACAGAATAATGTGAAGTAAAATTACTTTAGTCCTGCTCTTCATACAGCAGCTCTCTGTTTACAACAGCAGAAATTAATTTAACCAATTAACTGAACAGGAGCCTTTCAGACATGCAAATTGAGCAAACGGACATGATCATGTTTTCTAAACAGGCCTACCCAAAAAGTGACACCCCCGTTTTTGGGAGATCTCTTTGGATTTTGAATGCCAGCAGTTGTTGAATTTACAGCTGCACATCACAATGACTTCAGAGCCACTCCACCAAGGGCCACAAGCTGATGCCAGGCTATGTGTGGCTCCAGCTTGATGCCTATGTCCAAGCTAGCCAGGAGCACTTCCAGGGATGGGGCAGCCACAGCTTCTCTGGGCAAGGGCCTCCCCACCCTCACAGGGAGCAGGTCCTTCCCAACATCCAATCTGAATCCACTCGCCTTCAGCTTAAAGCCATTCCCCCTTGTCCTTGTGCTCTAGAGCCATCCTTAAGTTAAAGACATGGCTCAGATAATCAAAAACATGAATATAAAAAACATTACAGAGTTTGAGGGTTTTCAAATAATACAAGAGTGGTGGATAGGGAGAAAGCCCTTCACAGGGGTTATAGTTTTACACTGGGCAAAGGGGTTTCCAAGCTCACATTGAAATCACTCACCTCGGGATAAGCTATGTGTCATAACACTAAAATGTAAAATAATATCTGCTCCTTCCTCGAGGTCTCGCCATCTTTCTTCCATCTGTTCCACTGCCACCCTTTTCCAGTGCACCACATATGAAATGAGAGACTCTCCAAGAGGAGTGACTTTCCAAGGCTATAATGGTATACAGGTATGAATATCACACTTTTTTTGTCCTTTTCAGCTATTCCAATCTCTCAAAAGCCTGTTTTTCCATCACTGGGAATAGGTCCAGGCTAAGAATCCTCCCCAGATCTCTGCCTGGTTTCTACTGAGAGATGATGAGCTTCTAACCTATCCCTGGTAGTGTCCAAGGCCAGGTTGGATGGGGCTGTGTACAACCTGGGATAGTGGAAGACATGGCAGGGAGGTGGAACAAGATAAGCTTCAAGGTCCCTTCCAACCCAAACCATTCCATAAAAAACACCTTCATTTTGTGGCAGTTTCCCCCACTGTTCAATCAGATGTAACACTCCTAAGGCTCCACTTACTGAGGTTGAAATAGTGTTTCCTGATCTGAGGCGTAATAAAAATTATTATGGAAAAGGAAGTTTATGGTTGCACCTCTGGATGACATTTTAAAGACTGTGTGCAGCGTATTTTTTGAAAGACAATTCCAATTTTGTGAGCTGACCTATTGGAGGCACAAAACCTATTGTTCACCCTCAGCAACAACCAAATCCTCTTCCCCCCAAACCAAGAGCAGCCCGGGAAATTGGATGGAGCCCTGACTTTTGTGCCTCTCCGTGGCAGTCAGACATTTTTATTGCAAAACGCCGTCTGGAAAAGATGCAAAACAAAATTGCTAAACTGCAAAAAGAAGAAAAGGAGGGAGGGGGGGGAGAAAGAGAAAAAAAA